AAAAGAACAACTTGGCCAACTTTCACTTAATCTCTCTTTTCAGCTGGTATCTCCATCCCACACCTTCACAGCAGTGCCTGGTATACCTCAGTCTAGATCAGGGCTTGGCAAACTTTTTCTGTAAAGGGCCAGATTAGCATCTCTGTAGCTTTTTTTCTCCTCTCAGTGCTGGAATCAAACCCATTGAAATTTCACACACTCAATTAGTTCTCCGTAAGCGCACTGTGTTTTGTTCCTAGTTGAAGTAGCCCTAAACAGAAGCACACAGGAAAATACCCATTTATTGCAAGTGCTTTATCATTGAGCTGTATCACTAATCCATTCTTTTTTAAAAAATTTTATTGGTTCTTTACCAGCCCACTGTCATTACTTAAAAAAAAAAAAAAGTAAAATGAAAAAGCCATTTTTAACGCTCAGCTATGTAAAAATAGGCTACAAGGCCAATTCATCAGGAAGCTGTAGTCTGCTAATCACTGGTGTAGTCTGTATGCTTTTTAATAGATAGTTACTAGCCACATCTTGATCAAGCACTTACTACATGCAAGTTTGAACTAAGGTGTGCTTTTATAAAGCATAAAAATCTGCACCCATTTTTGAAGATCTAGTACAAAAAAAGATAACGTAAAATCTCTAAAATTTTTGTATCAATAACCTATTAAAATAATAATGTTTGATGTACTGAGTTAATTTTATTAGTAGAATTGATTTTACTTGTTTCTTTTGCATTTTTAAAAATGTGATCCTGGAAAATTTTAAACCACATGTGGTTTGCATTATGTTTCCAATGAACAGCACTGAATAAGAGTGTTCTTAGTTCAACCTATGTCAGAATAAGTCTGCAATCTCCTGTTTATGTGCAGTGGAGGAAATCTGGGTATCTCTCTACATGCTCCTACAAAGATTTTTAGCTAATTAACCTGCTTTTACCACTACCAAGTGGCTTGCTATCAAAGTCTCCACAGCACCTTACTCCTTCTCCTCTTTGGCCTGGCTTAATTTTAAAGGTTTGCTGATCTACTTACTAAGTTAACTATCACCAATTTTTTTTTTTACATTATTCAGAAGAAAATATAAAACTCTGTGTGTTATAGGAATTTAAAAAACAATGATATCAGTGTATGGATTGAGAAGAGTACAGAAAAGGACAATATAGAATGGATGAGTAGGGCAAGGCACAAGAGGCAAATGCCACACACAAAGTACACAGGGAAAATTGAGTATGGTGTATAGAGAGAGTATCATGAGAAATGAAAGAGATACACAGAGCAGGATCCTAAAGATCAGGCCAAAAAATTACCCTGGATATGAGCATAGGAGGCAGTAAGGAATGCTGAGCAGGGAGGCAACAAGACAGTATTTCAGACACTTATTAAGGCTGGTAGAATAAGTAGTCAATCTTACCATCTCCTCTAAAAATTATACCAAAATTCTAGAATCATAAAAATGTATACTGGCTACCCTCACCCCCCAACCCTAACTCAGTGGATGGAAAGGCATTACCATAGAAGACTGTCCTCTAAAGGAATGGAACAAGCTGCCTCAGAGAAGTTAGGCTTCTGGGGGAACTTAAGGGAGCTCAGCATTTGTGGGATCCTAAGGCCTGGTTGCTCTCCTTGACATCCGCAAGGACAGCTTTTCAAGTCTACTTGCTCTACCAATTTTCAGGGACCTCTCAGTCACAGAAGAATGTTACCAAGTAGAGCCTGGCCTCCTTAATGCAATAGGAAACCCCATGCCAAGCACTGCTATCGTTAACCCTAATTCTCTTTAGAAATAAACAGACCACTAAGGATGTCCAGATAGTTGAGTACAACTAAACAGTGTTTTAGGAGGAAGACAACTCAAGCAAAGGAAGAGAAACAAGAGTTACTGAAGGTACAGCCATGAATATAGTACAATGCCATGAACAAGGAACTAGTACAAAAAAGGAAAGGACCTTAAAGATCAAAATTTCAATGAAAGAGATACTACTGTGTTGTTCAATGTCCCCCATGAACCACATGTAGCTACTGAACACTCACAATGTGTTTAGTCTAAATACTTTAAATGTAAAATACTGAATTTTGATGAATTAGCATAAAAATACAATGTGAAGTATCTGAATGATTTTATAATTATTTCACATTGACATGATATCTTTTATTTTTATTAGTATGGCTTCTAGTGAAAAAAATAATATATTGCTGTACTGAATATTGCTGGCTTAGAATACAAAGTTCAGAAAACTGCCAAGAATACAAAACAAAAATAGGTAGGAAATGAGAAGTGATAAGTATCATAAGAAGATAACCGAAAAGGTCCAGAATTTGACCAGTAGAACAAAATAAACAACCAAGGAAGAGGGAAGCCCCGCCGGCAGAGAGAGAGGGAGGGAAAGAAATAATAAAAGCAACAGACTTTTTTAAATTCTTGAGTTGTAGATGAGTCTGCAAATGGAAAAGGTCCACCAAGTATTGAGCTATAATGGAACTATGGTCTAGCCACATCTTTGTGAAAACTCAGACTACAATGGCTAATAGGAAAATTTAGGAGGATTCCAGGAAAGGAAAAAAAAATGATCATTTGCATGAATAAGGACAAAGATTTACTGTCAGTTACAAAAACACTATAATTGCATAAATCTTGAAAATAATTTTAAAATGATGATGGCTATAAAATCAGATGATGAAATGAGGTAAGAAGGATTAAAAAAAAAACATGTGGAATAACTGTGCTCCTCTTAGAGTAATTAAGAGATATCTTCTAAGGTTAAAACACAGATTTCTACTTGAGTAATTCATTTTTTTTTAAAATTTAGTTATTTGAAGATACTGAGGATTAAACCCAAAGCTTCCCACATGCTAGGCAAGTGCTCTACCACTGAGTTATATCCCCAGCCACTGGTTCTATCTGGGGGGGAAAAATAACAGAATGAAAAATAATAATTGCCATTAATTGCGAAGAGAAGAATCCCTCATTTTTCAGAGTGAAGAGTTAATTGCTACTATCAATATATGTGATCATTCAAAAAGCAAAACATAAATAGAGTACATTTATACAGTACCTTCTTTACCCTATTTTATGCTGCTCTAAACTGTTTGAGATTATCTATGCCGTGTGCAAGAGTTTAAGAAAAATTAACATGACAGTAGTAAGCAGAAAGAACTGAAAGGTTAAAGACAAAAATCAAATAGAAAATTATAGCAATACTTAAGAGAATAAATATTAGAGAGATGAGTAAGAAGAATGTCAGAAGAATAAATCCATCATAAGGCTTTTAGGGTATGGTTAAATAGGTACAGTAAGCAATGATAATTATAGTGTTTCTAAGCTGAAATTATTGAGAAGAAAAAATTTACATTAAAGATGAAATCATAAGAGTTTGAACTGAGGTGTCAGTAGGCAATCCAAATGGATGAGCTCTATAATAGGAATTGTCACTGAGGATCCATTGTCAGAATTCAGGGGATATGTGACTCTGTTATGGCACACATGTTTTTGTATATAATTATATAGCTACCTGAAAGATAAAGGGCTAGATGGGGAGGGTAGTGGTCTATTGCTTTCAATAAATTTTCTGAAGGGTCCATGGCACTACTCTGTTTAAAATTATGAGTCTGGATTTCATGCAAATGATCACAGCTAGAGCTATGGATTTGGAAGTCAACAGCAGAGAAGTGAGTATTAAAAGGAAACTACAGTACCCAACTGCTATGGTTTGGTTATGGTTTAAATGTGCCCCCTAAAGGTTCATGTGTTGGAGGCATAGATAGCATCCAGGGTGGTAGTGTTGGGAGATGATGTAGACCTTTAAGAAGGCGGGCCTAATTGGAGGTTCTTAGGTCAATTGGAGGCATGCTCTCAGAAGGGATCAGGGAATTCCAGTCTCTTTCTGGCTTGCTGTCTAGCCCTGTAATCTATTCCTCACATACATGCTCCCAACATTCTGTGACAAAGCCAAGAGAGGAGGTCCCCTCACTAGAGATGAGTGGAGCTCAGTGCCATGCTTTTAATAAAAAAAAATAAATAAATAAGAATCTCTTAAAATTTTTCATTTTGTTTAAAAATGGGACCTTACTTTGTCTAGCTCAGTTTTAGTTACCTGAATTTTATAAAACAATTTTCTTACAAAGTAGCTTTATAATCAGACTTGCAGCAAATTCAGAAAAATTTACACCTAAATGAGGTACTATAATTTCAAATGTATTTTTAGACTGCACTGAAATGATGAAGATAATGTAACCAACCTTGTTCAACTAGCATTTAGTTATAAACAGAATGATTTTGTATTTGCCTACTAAAACCTTATAATATCTCAACAGCAATGCTTTTTAGAACCAGTCAACACTATTTCAACTTTCCAGTGAAAGTGGCCATGTAAAAACCACGCTGGTCACAGATTACTTTTTTTTTTTTAACATTTATTTTTTAGTTATAGGTGGACACCTATAACTATGTAATTTTTATTTTATTTTTATGTGGTGCTGAGGATCGAATGCAGTGCCTCACTCATGGTAGGCGAGCGCTCTACCTCTGAGCCACAACTTCAGCCCCTGGTCACAGATTACTTTATAACTATACTTACTGAAGGGTAAAGACATTTTATAGACTGTTAAATGTATTAAAAATATTTTAAACATACCATGGGTATGGTTTCCACAAAAAAGTAGTTAAGAAGTCTTAAAACATCTTTTGTGTTCAGCATGATAAATATCTGACCACTTATTAATGATGATTCCCAAATTTACTAACATTAATAATCAAAGTTGTGATTTGGAAAGATATAAATCTGCTTTCCAATAATTAGATGTTCAGAGGCTGGGGTTGTAGCTCAGTGGCAGAGTGCTTGCCTAGCATGTGTGAGGCACTGGGTTTGATTCTCAGCACTACAAATAAGTAAAAAATAAAATAAAGGTCCATTAACAATAAAAAAATATTTAAAAAAATAATAATCGGATTTTCACAGTGTGGTTTTCTGCAACAGAAAGGTAAAAATACAAACAATTAACTTGTGAATTTACCTTCTCTGAATTTCCAATTCTTCTTGGGATGGACCATTTTGAACTTGAGCAGGTAGTTGTGAATTTTGTCTAGGCAATGTTGGCCCTAGAAAGGGAGGAAAATATTACAGATGAACATTATCTTTACATCTAGCTGGACAGAGGAGATAAAATCATGAGAGTAACATAAAACCATCACATATTTACAAATGTATCTTCTTTTTGTCTAGCAAAATAAAATATAAGCTTTACATAACACACAGCAAATGAAAGACTGCAACATAATACTGTCATCATCTCCAGAAGGCTTACTTGAAACAAATGAAAAACATCAACAATAAGGGAAAAATAAACATTTACATATGAAGAGCTTGAGTAAAACAAGTGTTCAATGAGCATCTGAAGAGGCACCTAAGCTTGACATTTTCTAAGACAATGAGACATTCTCTTTGGGGTAATTATTTATGAAGTGGAGAAGGAGAACTTAAATGAAAAATCAGAATTAAAAAACTCACCTAAATAGAACACTGGAAATGAAAAACAGGAGAGAGAGAGCATGAGAACCTTATTACTAGACTGCAGTATGCTAATGCATTTATCAAATTTGCCCAATTTAAGCTGCCATTTTTCTTTAACGGCCTGGCATTTCCATTACTGGTAAAAACAAACATTGCTAAACTTCCATATAATAAATTAAACTATTTATCTGAATTTCTTAATGCAACACAGGTAATCTTAACTTTTCATTTGGGGTAAGAAGGAAAAAAAATGAAACCTGCATTTACACCAACATGGTTCTGTCATGTGAAAATAATGACCATCCATTCCCATATATTATGTACAATGCAGATCCCATCTTAGCATCTTAGATAGAATGCCTCTAAATTACTGGACATCTTGATGTCACTGGATATAAAAATTAAATAAGATAAATGCTGGACTTAATATAATACACGATGCCTAATGTTAAACTAGAACAATCTTGAAATCCATCTCAGTAAATAACACAACAAAGAATTATCTTCTACTCTTGGAGAGTAGTATAGATAAATTCTATATATATATTTCTGAATTCTAGTGTGCCACCAAATGCCCCTACCACAGATTCTGAAAGACTTTTGTAAATCATTAGTATATTTTTTAAAAAAGCTTTTACTAGTAAATAAAAGCAAATTACTATAATTTATGAGCTAAGAGCATAACACATCTATTTTATATTAGTGGAGTAGACTTTGAAACTAGAGGTAAAGATCCATCAGGATGTAATACAGTTATGGTATAACCTAGGTACAGAAAACAGAATTAATTTGTTTTGAACTTACCTACCAACTTTTTTTCCCTCATCTCTTTACAAATATTTTTAGACTGATCATTTAATTTGCCCTCTTACAACTTAAATGACAACTGCCGGGATATTTTAATTAGATTTCCTAAGAATCTGCTATTTTGAGATCCAAATAAAGGAAATACAGAAATATATTAATTCCACAAAATCAGTAACCACAACAAAAAAAGGTTTTAGAAACCAAAATTAAATACACTTGCGTCTCTGTATAAATAAAAATAAATAATTATTGTCTAGTAAACAGACTAGAACGTGTTCCTTTGCAAATTAACATGATATATATTTTAAAAAGACTGTCATATTAAGCCATGTTTTCATGTTTTATATTTCACAGGTTACAGGGAAAAGATATTTCTGGCAAAAGGATGGGGACATACAAGGTGAGAGGGTAAATTTGAGAAAGCATATAATCTAGGGAGGGATGTACTCTCCACATCCAAAGTTATATTTGCCCCAAACTACTAAATGCAAGCATGTGGCACAGCCAACTTAAGACAATTATGGTTTAACTAACTTTTTAAAAAATAATGTTTGAGTATTTAAGTGAAAATCTCAAGTTATATAAATAATACAATAGCTGAATATCAGCAGGTTAGACTTGTTTGGCAATTCTAATAGTTTTGCTCACATCTAAAACAGGTATCCTATCTCAACAGTAATATTAATGGATTAAGTTCACTAATTCAAAGTTTAAATTTTAACTCAGATATAATAATAAATTCAAGAAAAATGTCAAATTTCAACTCAATCCTATTGATTTTATTAAAATTAACACATCTGACATTAACTCATAAAACTGAATAAAAAAATCATCGACTTACAGAACCTGTTTTGAATATTTTTTAAGGCTTTTTAAAAGCATACTAGGTACAACCACTTAGAAAGGAGGTTTTCAAAATATGGGTAATATTTTGTGGGTCCTATTACTGATATTTTTTGGTCGTAAGAAGGAAAGAAAAATTTCCTTGAAGTTTTTTAAACTGGTGAGAAATGTGATCCAACAACAACTCTTAAAATTCTTTGCTATATGGTTCTTTGTGACATTGGGGCATTTGTCTTTCAGAACATTCTTAAATGGAGAAGGAATCCCTCCCTGTGGTATTTTCTCACATTTGTATTTTAATTTGGCTGTTTTGTTTGTTTCTTCTTCATTAAAATTGTCAAGGTACAAAAACTAGCACATTGAAATTTATGTGCACTTAAAATTAATATAAACATACTGTAAATGTTGAATAAAAATTTCAGGTAAATTATAAAATACAGATAGGAATTACATTCTAATGGATTATGAATCTGGTAAATAATACCAAAGGCACTGAACCCGACTATGAAACAGCAACTAAGATTAGGCAAGGGTGTCAGCTGCTACCATATTTTCTAGACTATAGCTATTACTATACATAGGTCATATTCCTAAACGGGTATCTGTGTCCTCATAAAATACAAAATAGGCACTGTCATAAACATCTTGGTGGGCAAATGACAGTATTTTATAAGCATCATGTAATGGTTAACAGCTCTCTTTTAGGAAAAATAAAGAGAGAAGAAACAACCAAGGTTAAGAAACAAGTGGTCCTGCTTTGTTTCCACTGTCAATCATGAACAGCAACAGCAGCTGTTTGGGGGTTCACTCTCTCCCTAATTTATAACCAGAGCCAAAGACACTGGCTGATCTTAATTTGTCCAGGCTAGAAGAAGATATACAGCAAAGTTTGCAAATTACTGTTTCTAATAAAGAAAATGTGGTAATATCACTGATAAAGTATCCTAGAAATGATGGAAATCTGTTTAGAATCTCTCTCTGAAACATGAGTGGCATTTCAGTCTTGCCTACAATATTGAGTTTTGGCTAAAGCTATTTCATTTACTGTCCCATTTTTATTTTCACAAATCTAGTTTCACACTTAGCCACAGACTATTTTAAATCACCGACTAAAAGATGAATGGTCCCCACAATACAATCAAATTTAAACTTAGCAAAGTGGTAACTATATTGTTTTACACAGTTAAAGATGATAATGAGGAAAATCTGCTTTTTAACCACTGTTTCAGAAAAAAATTTAAAAATCACCTTTATTAAGGCCAAATTAATCTTTTCTCTGCAACTGGATAAACTGCTATTCTGCATGTGGACCTCAAATTCTACAGCAGAAAGTTAGGTTATTAAAAATGAGTTGAAGAGACTCCTAATAAAACAAATATCAATAACCACTCACGGCTAGTTCAAAAGCTGGCCTGGAAGAAGCCTCAAGAAGAGATGAAATTTCAGAAATAAAGTTACTGATTAAATGCTTAAATCTGCAATGTTTTAAGAGAGGTTTTATAGGGCTGGGGTTGTGGCTCAGTGGTTGAGTGCTCGCCTAGCATGCATGAGACCCTGAGTTCGGTCCTCAGCACCATATAAAAATAAATAAATAAAAACCAAAGGTATTGTGTCCAACTACAACTAAAAAAATAAATATTCAAAAAAGAAAAAAAGGGGTTTTATAAAAGCCATACAAATGGGCTCACAGATGCTAACTGTGTCACCTGAAGCAAATCTAAACTAATAATTTTAGATGATTAAGAAGTACATTAGAATTCTCTTTTTATAATTTATAATGTGCTTCTTTGCCTAAACTTTTAAGTTCATTAATTTTAAAATGATTCTCTTTAAAGAAACAATATCAGTAATACTGAGGAACCACATTAAAAATTCTGAGTCACATGGATAAAGTACATACACGGAGTTGAACTGTTAACACAAATTTGTTGTAGTATATCACTTCATAAGTTTTATCTCTCTCACAAAAAAATCTGGCTAGTCAAGGTATACATGAGTCAAAAAGGGGTATATGCGCATATGTGCGTGCTGTGTGTGTGTGTATAAACTCAAAGAACTAAGTCGCTTTTTGGAACCTGGGTTTTCAAAATAGAGTTTCAGAATCAAACAGTGATAAAAAGAATTTAGACAAGAACCTCTCTCTTTTTATCTTGTATGAAGGTAAGAAAAACATATATATACACACACACACACCACACATATTTGATTTTCTCTAATTTGGGGCAGTTATATGACATACCTACATTGTCTATACAAATAATACATATCTACAAATGTGTATATGAGTGTGAAAGAAAATACTGAGAGTAAATTCACTAAGTAAGCCACAGATCTCAACTGCTGAGTAAAGACTCAATCAGAAATAAACCTACTAAAGCAATAAGTTTACATCTGCCTCTTACAACATGCACACCTAAAATTAATTCAAGTTAAGCAAAAGCTCCTTTTGAATAAGGCACATTTACATACCTCAAATCATATTAAAATGAATATATTTTCCTTAAATTCTAAGTTAAAAGTTTGTTCCCAAACAAAAGAGTTAAAAATAAAAGTAAACAAACAAAAGCCCCCTCTCATTTGTGTTGGAAGAGGTAGACAAAAATAGTTTTAAAATCCTAATTCTAACTAAATCCTAACAAACCAACTAAAAAGCTGACCAAATCACCTACATGAACCACAACAAATATCACAACATAAAAATAGCTTGCTATAATATCCCAAATACCACAAACCAGACCATGGCCTAAGGAAACAAAAGTTATGGAAATGTGCAAGTAGTATGTACCACAGCTTGAAAAAGTAAATGTAAACATAATGTTGCTTACCACAGAAAATACATCGCAAATTAGTGCTGTCCTGGGTAGCAGTAACCTTGCTCTGGGCTGCAACAGACACCTTGGTGTTAGAAGCTTCAAAGGACAACGGGGCCATCTGAAGAACTTCACATTAACTAAAAGGTGCTTTGAAATGTTCAAAATGTATTTATACATACGTCCTATCTAGATTCTCATCCTGGAAGCTCTGTAATTTAATAAAAACGTATCCTCTTTAACACAAACTCTTAAAAATAATTTATATGTAATGTTATTTGTGGAAGACCCTAGAATAAATCATAGATCAAATGATGTGCTTACAGCTTAATTATTTCCTGAGTTATACAATCAAAGAGGGCAATATGCATTTTAGGATTATACTGTTTTCAAGTTAATGAATTACAGGAATTCAACATCTATGGCCAGAGTTAATTTCATAAGGACTATTCTCCCCCATTTAGGAGAATTACATCTGGAAAAAAAATTTAGGGAAAATACTTAAGATTAATTTAACATATTAATGCATTTCTACCAGTTGGAAAATGA